AAGAAATCTCGAAAGTCATTACTTTTACCTTGCCTTTCTTCTCCTCTCCTCTGAGTTGGTCCATTTGTTCTAGAAAAAGTTACTAATATACTATAGATAGGCACTCTGGTGATGCAGTAGTTAAGGCATTTGGCTAGCTTAACCACAAGGTCAGTGGTTCGAACCCACCAGCCACTCCGCAGAAGAAATGAGGCAGTCTGCTTCCATAAAGAAACACAAAGGGAGTTAGTATGAATTGGAATTGACTTAGTGGCAGTGAGTTTGGTTTGGTTTGGGACACCATAGACAAAACTGGTTTCCAGGGCTCTTCTAATGGTACAAATACTTCCTGGTTGCTCTTTCCTTTTCCCATGAGTTCAAGAGCCATTTATATATTGATGACTCCTATATCTATAACCTCAGCCCAGACCTCTCTCCTGAGCTTCAGACATGTATATTCAACTTCCTGTGGAACATTTCCAGCAGGTGCCTCAGAATCAATGTGTAGTTTCCCTTAACCCCATTCCTCCTTCAGTATTCTATCTCAGTGGAAGAGATTACTATATAGACAATATGTGAAATCAGATCCCCAAGAGTCCCCTTTGACATCTTCCCCCTCCTCACCCCTCTTTCCACAGCAAGCTTTAACAGAAGCCTTGGTGTCACAGTGGCTAAAGCATTCAGCTACTATTGGCAGTTCAAACCCATCAGCTGCTCTGTGGGAGAAAGATGAGGTCGTCTGCTTCTGTAAGATTTACAGCCTTAGAAACCTTATAGGGCAGTTCTACTCTGTCCTATATGGTCACTGTGAGTCAAAATCGACTTGGTGGCAGTGGGTTTATCTTCTTAATTCAATCATTTCTCATGATTGCCACCACTACTACTCTAGGCCAAGGCATAATCATTGCTCACTTGGATGACTACAAAGGTCTCCTAACTGCTCTCCCTGTTTCCAGGAAGACATTTAATCCATATTGCATATAGCACCTAGGATCTACTTTCTAAAACACAAATCTTTGTTGTATCCAGGAGCTCTGGTGGTACCGTGGTTAAAACACTGGACTGCTAACCAAAAGATCGGTAGTTTGAATCCACCAGCTGCTCTGTGGGAGAAAGTTAGGGCAGTCTGCTTCTGTACAGATTTACGGCCTTAGAAACTCTATGGGGCAGTTCTACTCTGTCCCATAGGGTCACTATAAGTTGGAATTGACTGAATAGCAGTGTTTTTTTTTTTTTTTTTTTTTTAATTTTATGTCATATCAATGCCTAACCAGATGCTGTGTTGACACCAATTCTTGGTGACCTCATGTGTGTCAGAGCTGTGCTCAAGATTTGTAATGCCTGATTTTTTCAAAGTATATCCCCAGGCCAAGGTACCTCTGGGTCGCCTCAAACTTCCAAACTTTCAGATAGCAGCCAAGTGCATCAACAGTTTGTACCACCCAGGGATTCCATTGATTCCTAGAACCCTTCAATAACCCCACTGTGATTGCAGGATCAAGATCAAAGTCCTTGCCCCAGCATTCAAGGCTTGTCATGATTTGGAAGAGATGGGAATCTGGGGCACCAGAACTGGAAGAAAAAGAAGGGCTGTTCTTAGGGTAAAATAAAGATGGGTGGATGGGGAGAGAGCCTAGAAAGCATGAAAGTTATGATCTGATGGAGGAAGCAGTAACTCAGGGTAAGGTCAGCAAAAAAAGTAGAGGGTCAGCAAAGGAGGAGACAGAAAAACAGAGGCCCACCTTGAATTCCAGGGAAATGTGTTTGTGCATGTGTTGAATTACCCATAGATCACAGGGACTCATGATGTTTTATTTATTTAGTAAAGGAAATGGTGACTTCATAAAGCATAAGGATTTATAGCCATTTAAGTTACCTATGAATGTAGGAAAAGTATTGTATATTATTTCTGTAACTGACCACTATGTTGAATTTTATTATGATTTCTAATAGTTTTTAGTTGATACTTTTGGGGTTTTCAGAAGTTATTAATGACACTTTTGTCTACTTTCCATTATTTACACATCTTATTTTGTTCTCTTTAATAGACTTATGTGAATTTAATATGTGATGAAAGTGTCATTTCAAATCAGTGGGAAGAAAGATCAGTTTGCACATGGTATAGGGACAAGTGATTATGATTGTGCAAAATATTAAAGCTGAATCCTTACCTCATTCCTTATACTAAAACAAATTTTGGAATGATCAAACATTTAAAAGTAAATAATAAAGTCATAAAAGTGCTTAGGAAAAACAAGAACTATTTATAATAAAGGAGTGTAGATAGCATCTCTAAGCACCATGCAGAACCGAGATGTGATAAAGAAAAAAATGATGTATTTGACTACATAATAATTAAACTCTGTTGTACAGCAAAATTTATCACGAATAACATGAAAATATTTGCAATATACGTAACACATAAACATATGAGAGATGTTGATGGGAATATTATTTCATGAACCTGTTTGGGAGTAAGATGACAAATTGCATATTAAAATGGAAGACTTTTTTTTAGCGCCTACGTTAACAAAAAATACAATAAATAACAAGATATTTATAATGTATATGACATAGAAACATGATAGAAAATGTTGGTGGGAGGATTATTGAGTTTAATCCTTTTGGGGGGTAAGGCTGCAAATCTTATATCAAAATGAAAATCTTTTTTTCTAGCATTTGACTTAACAATTCTACTTTTATAAATTTATCCTATAGATATAAGCAATTACAGAAAGATACAGATATAAAGATGTTCCTTGCAACATTGTTTGTAACAGTAAAAAAAATATATAAATAGGCTGGTAAAATAAATTATGGACATCAAACAGGACAAGGGGATACTGCCTGGTTAAAATCAGGAAAGGTGTGTGTCAGAGTTATTTACCATATTATTCAATCTGTATGCTGAGTAAATAATCCAAGAAGCTGGACTATATGAAGAAGAATGCAGCATGAGGATGGAGCAAGACTCATTAACAGCCTGTGATATGCAGGTGACATAACCTTGCTTGCTGAAAGTGAAGAAGACTTTATTACTCACTTACTGATGAAGATCAAAGACTACAGCCTTCAGCATAGATTAAACC